CTACTAGAATTTAAACTTGAATAGCACAGTATAACACCACACAAGAGAAAACAAAGAGATAAGCAGAGATAACCTGAAAACTCAATGATTGGGTGTTGACAAAAGGGGAGAGATACCTCTTATTTATAGGGTTAGGGTGACCACAATTTAGAAAGATATAATCTCACTTACTAATTACAGGATAATATATTCCGATTTACAATCAAACTATTAAAGCCTGATTGATTTCTCCTCAATTCTCAATAAGCACCTTAATGCTTGATTTGGTTCCCTATTCAATTACTCATTATCTCTTAATGACGATTTATTTTCTTGATTGACTAGGATTTATTTAATCAATTGCTAATCAAACAGTCTAGCCCATCAAGGGTGGACTTGGACCAAGAGTCAAACAATAACAAAATTAGCGAAGACTTATTTCCGTAGGATAATATAATGACTTAAATAAGAAAATGTGTCATAAAATATGTTCCCTGTGTTTATGTGTTTCAACTCGATTTAGTTTGTCATTCAACTCAAGTCATTATTTGTATTGCGCACCAAATTAAACTAGGCTAACTTTGTAGTATAGAAATCAACCTAGATTGTATTAACTTGTTGAAACAATTAATAGAAACTCTAATTAGATTAGACAACCAACAAACAGATACAAAAGATTGGGTTTTCATCTAACATAACATTGTAAATTTGAATTTCACTATCAATAATGTAAGGGCTAAGAGTAATTTGAGGAAAATTCTTTAAGCATGTTTCCTATTAAGCTACTGGATCGAAGAAATATTAAATCATTCGAACAAAAAACAAATGGTCACGCGTTGTGCCAGAAAAAGAAAAAAAGAAAGAAAGACAAATGACCGCGGAAGTCGAAGTCAATATTATTAAACAGTGCCTTGTTTGGAAATCAAAGCAATTTTGGAAAAAAGTCAACTTTTTTATGCTAAGTGAACTAGGAGAACCGTTCGTCAGAAGCACTATCAAAATTGGTGTGCGGTTCCAGAAAGTCAAGGACTGGCTAATAATCTCATAGACACATTTTGATTTTTCAAAATGGTTTATATTTTATTATTTTTCTTCACCTTTGTAAATGTACACCGATCAAATTTCCTTCGTATAGTTCAGATCGTATATACAAAATGCACCCTATTCACCCGTCATATATTTGAGATATATATCTGACTCATTTCAAGTTCATCGATCGGCAAAAACCTCCTTATCAGGGTTTTCTAAAGTAATTAGAATACCCACACGACACAGAATCACAGTTTGGATCGGTTTATGTTGTGTTTTCTAACTCAACAAAACATTTGAAAAGCTCAATTACCATTATCCAAGTTGAAACAACCTTCCTAAATAAACAGATAAACCCTTTTTTTTTTATAGTAACTTTAAGAAATAACTTTTTATAACCAAACCATGCTAAATACAAACTCAAATTATATCACAATCATCTACACTAACTAATTATATAATATTGTTATCCGTGATAGAAAAGAGCAGCATCCAATTATACATCCTATCATGGATAAAAGAACTTTTCTTAACTCATTTAAATACAAACTATATAAAAAAGGATCAATCTTGTCTAATATGGTTATGAAACAACATATAATGTAGCTCATAAATCAAAATATTAAAAATTAAATCTTAATTCATACTTTATAATAAATTCATAAATAAATCACATGCGAATATGCGATCCTAGGCCTCTGGCCACCTATCAGCACACATACCACAATAGTACACTCAAAGGACATAAGAAATAATAATGCATGAATCAATTAAAACCAATTTATCCTAAGGTGGCAATATACAGGATACAATATAGCTCATAAATCGAGGAGACACTACAAGTTGCTAATGTAGCTTTACTCCTCCTGAACCTTCCCTGACGTCCCTCCTTTAAAGTTTCACCTGAAAAATGTTAAACAATAGGAATGAGACAACGTCTCAGTAACTAAATCCCTAACTATCACACACACTACATGGGCTAGCAGGTGTCAGGTGGGATATACATAGTTAATAATAGTCAATAGACACTTAGCTAATAGTTGAACTCACAATAACCATATAGGTGAAATATATTTGCCAATCTCAAGCAACTGATGATTTCAAAAGAGATAACATACTTTTTATTTATTCCAAAGATATAAATATCAATGAAGATACCATGTCATATGAAACCCATGAACCCAAATTCATCCTTATATCCTCCTTATTTCCGCCGATTGGACCCATGGGCTAAGTTCTTTCCATTTGACTGGCTACTCTGACAAGCTCACCACTCGAGTGATATAGACCGGCCAAAGACCACAGAGCACTCGATGGACCATGGGTCCCCCCTCGAAGAACTAGTGGGGTATCGTAATCCCTCGAAGAACTAGTGGGACAATAATAGTGGCCAACCCTAGAGCTCCGTATGGAGGCCGATACCACTTGGTAAGTATATAAATCTCAATAACTCCAATCATCTCCTTCCCCCACCCAAACTAGATGCATAGGGTTCAAAATAACACATTTATATACATAATTAACCGAATTCTAGAATAAGACCTGATAGTCATAATCATTAATTTCTAATAATACAAACGATTTCAATCATTTTCAAAATAGTATCCCACCAGACAGTTCATACAAAACATAATATATGTATACAAAACTTGGATATAAAATTACTCACCAACCTCATACCAATGCATGTAACAGATAGAAATTTAGTTACCTGGTTTCCTAGCTAACAATCAAGTACAAACGAGGCCCGTACTCAAAAATGCCACAATAGGATTTATATCTACAATTAAAATTAAAATATTATTTCTACAGTATGAGAGTAAACTATTCACAAATTTCTAACCTTTAACGCTCCCTCTAATACATTTAGCTGTTATTCGAAATTCTAGCTCGAAAGGCTTTTTCTAAGATTTAGGGTAAGAACATATATATGATGATTTAAACCCGATTCCAAAAATTTCATTACTTAAGTATCCTTTAATTATTATACTATATTATTAGAATCATCAAATTCATAATGTAAATAGACAAACTATAAATTTATAACTTATATTCCATCTTCGAAGGACTTAGACAAATAGACTTAGTATGAACCAGGTTATTCTCACTACAGAGTTAAACCCTTAATCTAACCGTTGAATTTAATTTCCTATCTATCATGATACTATCCTCCAAATTATAGCCCAATCTAACGGTGAATGAACTTTAAAATGCTAATTTACTATTCAGGACTCTATTTGCTAAATCCAAAAGATATAAGTTAAAAACGTACCTAATAACTTGTAACTTGAAAATCAAAATGATGATCCAACCCTTGAAATTAACAATTTGGATGTCCCAAATGGGCTGACTAAATTTCAGTCCGATCCAACGGTTAATAAACTCAAAACTAGCACTTTTCTGAGACTACCTCAGATATGTACGAATATTATTTACTCACTTCAAGCTCCACTCACTATCTCCTATATATAAGCTCCTCAAACTCCTTCGCTCTAAAGATTAGTCGATGTGGGACTTCTATACCATGGTATAATTTTCTAGAATACCATCCACACACACAATCACACATAAAAACATTATTAAAATAATAATAATAATAATTTGCCTATATCTAACCTTTTTTTTATTAACTTAATACTAAAATATATTTATTTATAAATTTAATTAAATACTAGATAAAAATAAGGATGTTACACAAGTCATTTTCACAATGACTTCCATTGATCGATTATTGCCTATATTGACATTGCCATTACTATCTTCTATTTACATTATCTCATTACAAGAGACGTTAGTCTTGTGGTTTATGGCTTTGGCAGCTCTTCTGTTTTGGGCTTTTCGATTTTCTTTGTATTTTCATCGTTGGAAGATGTCGATCAAAATGAACATGAAAAGGGATCTCCGAGCAAAACTTCAAAAGATCTCATCATGGCTAGCTGTTTTGACATATTCATTGGTGATCTTGTTGTTAGCAATGGATAGCCACCTAATTGAGTTCAAAGAATCACAAGAATCCTCGTCCAGATGGCCAACCTTATCGTTTTGGATGATCAGTTTCGCAGCCTATTTTTTGTCCCTTTTAATAATGCTTCTTGTTGGTGCTCAATTCAGTGGCTTGCAGATTACGGTACATCTCCTTTCAACCATGGTTATGAGTTATTTCACACTCAGTTTCACAGGCTCAATTTGTAGCCTCACCCTAGGAATACCTCTCTTAAGCTCTTTCACGTTATCATACATAAGAAAATGGTTTGGGCATTGAGGGTTGCGCATAAACAGTGGGAATCATTTTTCAAATTATGTGTAGTCTTTTAAGTTTAATAGGACATATTATTGAGGTTAATATAACATAGTCACGTCTGATTCTTTGGAATGTCCTAATTAGATCATTTACGGTAAGTATCAAACCCTGATGTTGTGTATTGTATGTTGATACAAAAAATTGCAGCTATATGATGGTATCAAATGAGATGTAATTAGAGCCGGTAATAGGCTCAACCCACCAACCCGCCACTTGGTGGCGGGTTGGGTTGATAAAAATTAGGACCATTTTAAAATGGAAGTTTTGAGCCCATAACCGCCAAACCCAAACCCGCCGCGGGCTAACCCGCAGGGTTGGCGGGCCAGCCCGTTTAACCTTTTTTTTTTTTGTAAATTTTTTCTTTTGCCTCTTGGTCAGACTCAGTTGGTCACTCTTCACTTGGTCTGTATACAGCTACACTATCAATCTCGGCCCAGTCCACACTCCACAGTCCACTACTCCACACACCACACTGACTCACCGAGCACTCCAAGTCTATGTCCCACAGGTTTCAACACGGCAAGTCGGCAACAGCCAACGCCCAACAGCCATTCAGTGATTCAGCTAAGCTAACACCGCAACTCCGCAACACGGTCCCAGAGTCCCAGACGGCCAGACTCCCCCGCAACACTGAACACTCTCACTCTCCTCGACCTCGACCCAGTCTCCCAGTCAGCATCACCGCGTCGCCCTCGGCCAGTCCCAAGCCGGCAAGCCCCAAGCTCTTCGCCTTCGGCCGCTCTTTGTCTCTGTGTTGCGCTTGCGCCTTTGCCCTAGTTCATTTTCCAATCTTCCACATTCCACGATCAGAGCCTCAGAGGTCCAGTCCAGACTCCAGAGTCGGTTGCCCCCATTCAATTTCAGACTTCAGAGCTTGTCGCTGCGTCGCCCCCATTCAGATCTCAGAGCTCGTCACAGGCTCACCGCGTTGCCCCTACCTGAATCTACCTCCCCTGGTCGACTTGAAGTCTTGAACGCCGGCAAGTCTCAAGTCTCGTTGGCGCGCTACACACCTACACGCAAGACCTGAGCATCGGCATTCGGCAAGTCGTGAGTCTGTCAATCATCAGGTATACCATACTTTGTCTCTTCGTAGTTCCTAGTTCCTTCTCTGTCTTCGTCTCCCTCTCTGCCTCTGGACTCTGGAGTTTGGAGACTGGTCGAGCTCGAGACTCCAGACACGAGTGTTGCTTGTGTTGGAGTCTAAATATGAAATATGAACTTGTTCTGATTTTGTCTCTTCTTCACAATCACGGTTTCACTTTGGATTTTTGGTAAATTAATATATTGTTTATTGTTGTGAAATCTGAAATGTAAAATAGATTGAATTGGCTGTATAACACTATAACGAATTGAACTTGCTGTGTTGGTGGCTGTATAACGTATTGGACTGTTGGTTTTGTATATAGGATGTCATCTGCTAGTCCTAATGTGCCTGTGCCTAATGATGGTGGTACTAGTAAGAATGTTGTTAATGAGTCTCCCTCTCAAACCAATGTTGTTGTTGATGGAGACAAAAGGTCTGAAGCTGACTCTTCTGTGCATGACAATGGAACTGGAAAGAAAGCTAAAAAATGTACATCTAAAGTGTGGAGGTATTTTACTAAAATTGGCAAAGTAGATGGGCAAGAAAAGGCTACATGTAATGGCTGTGGAAAGGCTTTTGTTGTTGGGGGTAAGAATTATGGCACTTCCACCCTTTGGCGTTATGTGGATTCATGTCATTTAGTCCCTAAATACCATGACATTGGTAGTATGATGTTAGACCAAGCTGGGAAAATGAGAGCTAGACATCTTGATAATAACAAATTCCGGGAATTGCTTGCTAAGTCTATCATTGTGCATGATTTGCCATATTCCTATTATGAATACGAAGTAGTTAGGGAAACACATCAGTTTTTGAATCCTGAGGCTAGGTATTTTACTAGAAAAACTGCTGTGGCTGATGTTTGGAATTTGTATCTTAAGCAAAAAGAAATTTTGAAAATGACAATTGCAAAAAGTCAAAGTAGAGTGTGTTTAACCACTGATTGTTGGACTTCAGTAACTACCGAGGGATATCTTTGCTTGATTGCTCACTTTGTTGATGAGAAATGGAATCTCAATAGCAAAATACTTGCATTCACACATTTGGAACCACCACACACTGGAGTTGAATTGGCTAAAAAGGTGTATGAATTGTTAGTAGATTGGGGGATTGAAAAGAAAGTGTTTTCTATTACTGTTGATAATGCTTCAGCAAATGATAGTATGAAAAACATTTTGAAAGAGAGGATGAATTTGAGTAATAGCCTGATATGTAATGGTGAGTTTTTTCATGTGAGATGTTGTGCCCATATTTTAAATCTCATAGTTCAAGAGGGATTGAAAGTAGCAAGTAGTGCTATCCAAAAGATCAGGGATAGCATTAGATATGTAAAGGCATCAGAGGCAAGGGCAATCAATTTCAAGAAGTGCATTGAGCAGGTTGGTGTTAGGTGTTCCTTGGGTTTAAGGTTGGATGTTCCTACTAGATGGAATTCAACTCATTCAATGCTTGAAAGTGCTCTTTACTATCGTCGTGCTTTTGCTACTTTGGCTTTCAATGATACAAATTATCACCATTCTTTGACAATTGATGAGTGGTCTAGGGCAGAGATGATTTGTGAATTCTTGGCTCCATTTGCAACAATAACGGAGTTGATTTCTGGCACATCATATCCAACTTCAAACTTGTATTTTGTGCAGATATCAAAAATTGAGTTACTGTTGAAAGAATTTCTAGATCATGATGATGTTGTGATCCAAAATATGGCTGCAAATATGCTTGAAAAGTTTGACAAATATTGGAGTGATTATAGTGTCATTCTTGCAATTGCAATCATTCTTGATCCACGTATGAAGTTTGATATAATAAGGTTTTCTTATGCACAGCTTGATCCTGTGAATCATACTGAGAAGATTGAACATATTAGGAAGAAGATGTACTGTGTTTTCAATGAATATAAAATCATGGGTGTGGTTGGATCATCATCGTCAACTCCTAGTCTTATTGTTGCTCCAAATAATGATTCAGGTTCTTCTAATGTTAGTGACATGAACATTATGTTGCCAAGAACATCAAATCGGCCTCCTTCTTATCCATCTAAAGGTGGTATTGTAAGACATGGCGCCTAAACACTATGGCTTTTGGGGTAAGTTTGATATTCTTTCATTTTTATTTGTCATAATGGATCCAAATCTGTTTATTTTGTTGAACATCAAATCGGCCTCCTAGTCTTATTGTTGCTCCAAATAATGATTCAGATTTTTTATTGACACTTTTTATTTTGTAGGATTATCTCAAATGCAAGAGCAAGGACACTGCATCAATGGAAAAGTCTGAACTTGACTTTTATTTAGAAGAAGCAACAATGGATCCAAATCTGTTTCTGGAGATGGATGTTTTGGATTATTGGAGGACCAATGCAGCTCGCTTTCCTTATCTATCAAAGATGGCATGTGATATTTTGAGCATTCCAATCACCACAGTGGCCAGTGAATCAGCATTTAGTATTGGTTCAAGAGTTCTCACAAAATATAGAAGTTGTCTTCTTCCACAAAATGTGCAAGCCCTTATTTGTACCCGTAATTGGATGCTTGGTTTTCCATGTGATGATTCTGATGAAGGTAATATAATTATGTTTATTTCTTTATCTCATTTTCATTATTTATAATTATAATCATGTAATGTATTTTTCACTTTGTATTTTGAATTTTATTTGTGACAGAACCAGCTGAGCAAAAAGATGGTGGTTTTCAAGCTCAACCAAATAATTTCATGTCTTCAAATCATGCCTCCAACTCCAACACTATCAATATTGACTGATAGCTCATGAGTGATGATTGAGCACTTGATAGTTGATAGTGATTTATGTAGTGACATGTGACTTTGTAGTGGTGTTAATTTGGATTTATGTTTTAATTTGAGATGTTTGTTAAATTATTAAGGACATATCATGTTTATGTAATCATATGTTTAATATTTTGATATATTTAAAAGTTGAAACTTTGGATAGATTTCATGTTTTATTTATGATAATTTCTATTTGTATTTTTATTTTAGGTATTTAGGAATTTGAGACTTTGAGTAGATTTTATTTAAAAAAAAAGTTAAAAAAAGTTGGCCGGTTGGTGGGCCTAACCCGCCAACTCACCTTGACGGGCTGGGTTGGAAAAATTCCAGCCCGCCAAAAAGCGGTCCTAAAAATCCCAGCCCGCCAAGCTTCAGGCCCGCCACGGGCCAACCCATAATCGGCAGGTTGGCCCATATTACCGGCTCTAGATGTAATCATCAAACTTGCAACTCTAAAAAAACTTGTAGTTATGGTGTCTGCAAGGCATTCATTCGTTTTCCATTACTTGCATGTGGTGATTTGAATTTTTTTTTTATTGTTATGTTAGCAAGATTTAAAATTTTAATATCTACCCATGTCCCTGTTTTACCGTTGAATAACTAGTTAACCACAAAGTTTTTCATTGGCCCCAGTTGACATGGCCGCCTGAAAGGACTGCTTGAACAAGTGCTTGGCTTGCCTTTCTTCTTGTTCTTGTTCTTGTTCTTCTTTTTCTTCTTGTTTTTTTTTCCCAAAGATTTGGATTGGACTTGACCATGTTGATCAAGTTTTGGTTTACGATGTAACATGATAATAAAGCACCAGTTTTCTTGTCCACTGGTTTGCTGCATATTTTAGACCGACCTAGTGACTAGGGATTTGTTTAGAGCTACTTATCTTATGTACTTCTAAGTACGTTCATGCAAACCAATACAAAACTCTCCCTCTATAATTATCTCATATTTTGTAAATTATGATTTAAAAACTATTTTTGAAAACGCTTACCACCAATCCAAACAAGTTCTAGTTTGTCAGCTTTCCACTTACACTAGCTAGTTTAATTTGGCTCTACGAAGAATGATTTCCATAATGCCAAAACTAACCTCTCAACATATAAATTGGCATCGTAAATGCACATAGTTCATAAGTAAAAAGATCGAGGTGCAAATTTGTTCCCAGAGTTTTTACTCAAGAGTGCTGGTGTTTGGAATTTTTTTGAAAATATATTTACTCAAAAGTTTAAAAGCTTTACCGTTAAAAATTTTAATGAGCAACTTTCAACGGTCAATATTAGATTTTAAGGGTTGGAAACAATATTGCTATCATTTTAAAATTCTAGGGCAAATTTGCTCAAAAAAAATTTTTAGATGCCTAAAGCTTATGAGTAAAATTTTTCAGGACAAATTTACACATTAATTCTAAATAAAAAGATGTTAAAATAAGTAAAATCAAAAATTACACAGACGCTATGTTTTTAAACAATAAAAAGGTGTGATCCCTCCCATTACTTTACCCACACCCACCCCTACCTAATCACGTAACATCCTGAGTTTTTATCAGGTTTTTAATAACCTCTTTTGGTTGATTTTGAGGATAGATTAGTGATTTATGTAACACCCTAAGTTTTATCGGGTTTTTAATAACCTCTTTTGGTTGATTTTGAGGATAGATTAGTGATTTAATCTTGATCTTGGTGTTTGGGTTGGATTTGAGGTATGTTAGAGGAATAGGTGAACGTACCCCTATCAGGGTATGTTCACCGCGGCGCACCGAGAGTTCCAGGGGAGAGTATCCTTTCGGGAATGTTTCGCCGCGGCAAAGGTGAGGGCATGTCGCGATGAAGTTTTTCTGGGCGGGCGAGAGTTTCCTCTTGGGAAGCTTTCGCTGCGGCAAAATCGAGTTTTCAGGCGAGTAATCCCTCTCGGGATTAGTTCGCCGCAACGAAAGGTGTCGAATCTATATAGACGCTGGAGGGTTCAGTGTGCGAAAATTAGAAAATCTGAAGGAGGAGAGAGGAGCTCTGCTAGGGTTTCGGTGTTGAGGCTTGGGAAAGACATTTCTAAGGATCCATTACCTCAAGTAAGTGATTTTAACCTCTAATCTACTTTCTTTCTTGGAATTTCTGAGGATTTGTGGTAAAACCCTAGGATTTTCTAAGTTGTAATGGAATTGAGGTTTTTGACCGATTGTTTTGAGTTTAATTGATTGCTTTGGGTTAGTTTAAGTATTTAATCAGTGTAGTTTTCTTGGATTTAAAGGATCTTGAGTTTTTGAAGCTAGGGTTTATGGAAATAGGAGGTTTGTGATTGAGGTTGATAATGTAGAGGTTGATTCTGAGTTTTGTGATTTGGATTGTGTTAAGGAGGATTAAATTGGATGTTTAATCGGTTTAGATTGTTGTTGGAACTTCAATTGTTCAAATGGGATGTTTGGGTATAGAATTCCTATAGTGGGTCCTTGAGGTTTGAACTCTAATTGATGCTTGGAAGGGGATTTGATGTTTTAATGGACTTTTATGACTTTAGAGTGTTGTTTTGATGGTTATACCCTTTGAGTTGGGTAGAGTTTTGGTTGGAGCTAGGAATTTTGTGTCCCCAAATGTTGTGTTGGCCACATTATTAGTTTGAAAGCTAATACATGATGGTTGTGTGTTTGTGTGCTTGTGTAGACCGGTTGTGAGTCTTGTTGGTGCACGGGGCCACATTGTTGGTTTATTGTTCCTTGCTCAGGTGAGAGGTAACCACTTTCCAATCCTTAGTACTTGCTTCTGTGGTATTGTGAGTAGATTTATGTTTTGTGCTCCAAGTAGTAATTATGTTCAAAGTGTATGTTGTGTATAAAAAGGAAAACCGTCTTGTGGGGTTTCGATTGATGATGAATGAAATCTTGAAATTGTGAAGGATATGCCACTGAATGAAGTTACTTATGAAATGTTCAATTACTATTTGATTATGGTTTGAGCATGATGCATGAATTGGAAATTGGTGAGAGTTTTTGATAGTTACTACCATATGGTAAGGCCTCCATTAATGCATGATGGTTGGCTCAGTACGTCCCCCATAGCGAGGGATAGGCCTTTTGGCTCCCTACGTCCCCCAAAGTGAGGGATAGGCCTTTTTGGGCTCCTTACGTCCCCCATAGTGAGGGATAGGCCGGGTTCGGCTTCTGAAAATCCCCCAAAGTGAGGGATATGGTTGATGAGAATTGCATCATCGCACTTGCATAACTTGTTGTGGCTATCTTGTTATCATATTACTTGTGAACTGCCCCACTTGACACCTCACGAGCACCTATTTAGTAGTACCTAGAATTGGAAAGGTTAGCTACTGGGACTTTGTCTCACCCCGTGGTTTACAATGTTTTCAAATGAAGGTTCTAGGCGTGCGCCTTCGGGAAGAGACGCAGAGGCTTGAGCTTGGTTAGCTTTAGGCCTCTAGCCTTTGTTTATGTATGACCAGTTATATATTGCCACAGTTAGGGTCCTTTGAAATATTTTGATTACCCGGCCTTATTGTAAATTGGAGAATATGTTATCTCCTCGTTTTAGTTGGCCGGAGGCCATTTCTATTGTTTTATGAAACTTTGTTACATGGTTGAAAACTAATTGGATGGGCTGTTTTGTTGTATGTTGTTACCCGGGCCGGAGGCTCGGAGGCCCAGTGCATATGAATGAATGATTCTTAGTTGCATGCAACGGAGTTTGGGTTTGACCCGAGTTGAAAGTCAATTTCTAAAATTATGCAAATTTCTTTCTACTATGGTAGTTCATTTTAACAGCTTTCCTTTTCTACCATAGTAGTGGTTTTATGACGAGATTATAATGTTATGAGGTTAAGGGTTTTACAAATCACATATCTAAAACATAAACAAAAGTGGACAAAATTAAAATCATACAGTTACCATAACTTTGATCCTTTAAGTTTACCCTCATTTTGGTTTTGATCACTTAAGTTTTTATTTATTAAAAATATTGGTCCCTCTAACCCAATAAAAACTTGAACCATTTTGCCCCTTGAGAGACCAAATCTATTATTTAAAACTTGAGAGACTAAAACTAAAATGAAGATGAACTTGAGGGACCAACGATTATATTAACCTTTTTTTGGCTAGATACCCTCACCATCATCAATTAATCATAACCTTCCAAGCAAGGTAAAGCAAAGTTCTAACGACAATACCTAGGAGAAGGGAAAAGCCCAAAGCTCCCAAGACTGTAAACCAAAAAACATGGATGTCAAAACTGCCACAATTGGAACGGATGACATGAGGTGCCTTCATTAACACTATAGGAAAGTAGTAGATTGGGAATAATGATGCCATTGTCATCATGAGCATCTTAAAGTGCAACGGCGCGGCAAGAACAAAATAGCAGCCAACGTAATCATGGACTACTCATCATTATCTTGTCTATGGCAGAGTTGCAAAATGCTCCAATACGATTGAGTGATACTTTCAAGGTGCTCCTATTGCTCATAGATTGGTAAAAAGGAAAGAAGGAATTAGTACTCGCATTCCCTACTTGGTCCCACCCCTACTGAAAAAGGGTCATTTTCGTCTGTTTTGGGGCCTTTTTTGGTCTGTTGAAGGGAGGACGTGGATGAAGGAGACATAGATAGAAGTTTGATACGTGTCTGTTGAAAACAAATGAATATGATTGCCTAAACGTTTTCTACATGCAAAATTGTTTGTTTTCTTTACCAAAAACCCTAAAAGATGGAACCAAAATAGAGAGTATAAGTTGAATTCAACTAAAATAACAATAGTAAGCCAGCAAAATCAGATCCATTCCATACAAAAAGAATCCACAATCTTAATAACATTATATGTTTTAACCATCAAAATAACCCTACACTACATGCATGATACAAAAAACTTCAGTACCATCTAACGCTTTTAACCTCATGTATCATTTTGAGAATAAAACTCTTGCAGAGATTGTCTTGCCAAACGATCTCGAATAGCACCAATCTCTTCATCCTTGTAGCAGTTGTCATCATCAAAAAACTGTAAGCAACAAGAATATTGAATTCATCAAGATTCTAAATTAAAAAGAAAAACAATTCAATAGAAAAAAAACAAATAATCATAATTAAACTAATTATTACCATCTCAAAATTTTTATACATTGGGACTCAAAATTTTGTACATGAAATGAATAATAAAATATCCGCACTCTGCACTTCC